TCAGGAAATAGATCACTTGTCATCAAAATAATTTTCAAACCCCAAATCTAGGGCATGCTTTAATTACTGCACATTATAGAAACCTTGGCTTTCTCAATTATAATCTCTTACTGTGTACACACACAAAATTATAAAAGTAGGATAGTTTCGGATTTTAGCATATTTTTGCTACATTTATTAATGAAAAATACTTTAATAACTTAAATAGGTAATGCTGTCACTTAACGTCTGTGAAACTTACCTAGTTAATACTTTTTCAAGTTTCACAATTTTTTCAGGATCAATTCTGATAGAAAACATCTGGGTTTTAGTGACTAGTTACCTCTGTCACAAATTCATGGAAATGTGCCCCGTGCAGCAAAGATGTGTGCAAAGATGCCTTGGAAAGGAAATCAAGCTTTTTGATCTTTTGCTTGGAAGTGTTTTCCTGTGTTGCCATGGTATCAGTGATAGCTATTTTAAGACATTGGCTATGGAATATCTTTGAAAATATACCTAGGCAACACATAAATCATCTGTACTCTAATACTTCTAAAACAGTGACTAATCTTTCCATATTTCAGTGGAACAGAGTGAATATGAAGCCATTATGTTTGTGTAAGAAATCCTTTAGAAAATTCAATTTTGAAGTTTTTGTCCGCTGAATCCACCTTATTCAAGCCCTCTTCAGTTTTCAAAAATCTGATAAAATTATGTATGTGACTTATAACAACCCTTTCCATCCCTTTTGGTTCCCTTAATTATGTTCACTACCTTTTAAACGTTAGAGCATAACAAATGTAGCCAAAGTTTATATTTCCATAACTTGAGTGTCCAAGGCTCTTATTCTTATGGTAAAGGTTTGCTGACTTCTTCCAGAGTGCCTTATTGACAAGCTACTCTTCACAGCTTCCAGGAAGGCTCTAGAACTCCTCTGCCCAACATGTATCTTCTTCCTAGAGCAGTGACCTGACATTGGAAATCCTTACAAAACCTGGAGTTCACGATTTGCAGTACTCAAGCTAACCTCAAAAAGGGTTTCTATCAGACAGCTATCATGGAAACTGCCTATACAACTACACCTATGTCTTATTTCAAATTGCAAAATACTTATAAATAAGTAGCTCCTTAGCAACAGTAATGTTCACGTGATTTTTTTTCTCAAAACAGAAGATATCATATTGAAGAATTTCACTGGTTTCTACACTGGTACTGATGTGTTTGGTGGTATGGAGGATGGAAGGAAGAGAATCAGAATACAGAAACACATCAACTCCTTTTTAAGGAAAGTCAAGTCTTTTTGAAAATATCTTACATTTGCAGTTACTGTCTGTTAAAGGCTAATCATAGTCCAGCTAGTACATTGCCCCAGAAATGTATTAGCTGAATGTAAGATAAAACAGATCCCCAAAATCCTAAGAATAGTTCCTGAACAGAGGCACAGAGTTTGTTTTAACCTAAAAATCATTAGCAAACTGATTTTTTCCAGAAAAACTGCCATAATGGCTCACTATGTAAATAGGTTTATATAAAAAGTCTCTAATAAATAGTAAAATCCTTACTACTCTGATGTAATTGACTATCCGATGGAGTAACAGTGAAGAAAAACCCCAAAGGAATCAATTATACTAATGGCTAAGTGCATTTTATCCATAGAAGAGTCTCTGTATAAACAGCCAGTTCTCCTTAGAGAAAGCCAAAGTAAAACTACTTAGAATTTTCCAAGAGCTGTCATAATATTCCTTATTAACTGAAATCTAGTATTTGGTCTTGCTTATAACAGCAGTGAAATTTAAAGACAGGTGTTAAAAGTCACTGCCTTCAACTTTTGTTTAATTGAATTGAAATTTGACATTACACAGCACCTCTACATTGTTGTAGTTACTAATAAATCAAAACAAAGGCTTTCATGATCTTAAGAGTTCAATATTATTCCCAACATAATTGGAAATGTGGTCCCATTAAAAAAAATCCAGATGAATTTAGCTTATTCATAAGGACACTTCATACTGATTGCAACATTCAAGACTATGACTACTGGCACCTAGCTTGAATCAGGCAACCATCTTGCAATATCTTTACTATTTTTAAAATATATGAGAAATGAAAGGCATTATTCCATGTAGTCAGCTCCTCAGAGACAAAAAACCCAACCTTGCGATAACCAAAATGATTCAATAGCCCGCCAAAAATAGCATAGTAATATTTTGTTGATATTTTGTCAGCTCACCACCTCAGACTTATAAACACTGCATTAGCCATCAAAACAGGTAAAATTTCTTCCCATGAATAAAAGTTAACCCCCGTTAATACAAAGTAAAAAAAGCAAATTTTCACTGGCCTCAAACAAGACTGATTTTGGTATTAAATAAAATGTAAATGCCAAACAACATACAGACCAGCCATCTCAAGTTATGGCAACCATCACACAGCAGCTTTTTTGTGAGATGGCACATTTGCTTCAGCTAGGCTTACGAGAATAACCATCTGCGTTTACATTAAAGAAAAAGAAGCAGCAAAGATGGGAAATTTACGCTGACTTTAGCATGACTTTCAGCAAGGTTTCCTTAGTATCATTTTAGCCAAACTGGAAAGATATGATTGAGACAGGTGTTCTCTAAGGTGGGTAGAAAATTGATAGGACTCTGATGGTTAACAGTGAAGCCTGTAGGTTAAGGGATGTAATTACTCCCCCCCATTTTAGCACTTGTGAGAGTATCTATGCTGCTTTGGGCTCTCCAGCCCGCCACACTGACTTACTGGAATGAGCTCAGTGGTGGCAAGAGGACTACAGGGCTGCAGAGAAGGTCAAGGAGGGATCTAACTGCTGTCTTCAACTACCTAAAGGAAAGGGAACAGAAAAGATCAAGCCGGACTCTTCTTGGGGGTGCACAATGAAAACACAATAATGTACGAAAGCTGAAAATTCTGAATGGTTACGAGGAAAAAAACCATCATGGTGAGGGAAAACATTGCAACAGCTTCTGAATCACTGCCCTTGGAGATACTCAAAACATTACTGGACAAGGCCCTGAACAACTGTCCTTGCCTTTGCAAGTGATCCTGACCAGACGACCTCCAGAGACAACTTCCAAGCTAAATTATTTCATCACGATTATACAATTTGGTCTATTTTGGAAGCAGTACCAAAATTTACTTGCCCTAGACAGCTGCAAGAGGAATTAGTTTACTTCTTGTACAGAGTGAATTGCAGATCCATACCATCTGATTAGTTAGAGAGTCCTCTAGCATCCTCTAGAATGCTCTGCTGGTTTGAAATCTGTGCATAGGAAGTGTAGGCACAAGCTATAGTCCCAATTCTTTCCCATTGTCCCTTTGAAGAAATTTTAGCTCTTAGATATTGTTGGTCCTTGTGCTCTTACCCCTCCGTTGCACATTTACGAACAAGCCATATAATAGATTACTTTTCCAGGGGAATACAATAGCATTATAGATTTTAGAATATGTACCCTCATAGTAATAGTAAAAAAATACCAATTTTTTTGAGCATCACTGGAACTACTTATGTGTTCTTTCCCAAAAAAAGAATACTGCAATTTCCTTTTATTCTGCCTAAAGATTCTTCTTTGACAGTAATTTTTATCCTTCAAGCTGAGAAAAATCAATCAGATGATAGAAATTCCAACATGCAATTTGGCTTCATTTCCACACTGCTGTGAAACTGCAGTATCTCTTACCACTGTGCACGTACATCTGTTTGTTTGATCTTAGAATAGGTTATCACATCTGATCCTTTGGCGGTGTCTCAGTAACAATAATTTACTGAAGCCTTATGCACTGGTCTGGAAAAAGTAATCCTACAACTAGAACAGGAAGTTGTAGCCTCTTCGCAATACCAAAAAATAATCAAATATTTCAGACACACAAACTTAATGACAAGTGCCTGAGAAGTTCATAATTTTTTAAAACCCTGATGTAAAAGGAATTGTATGGGTTTTACTAATGACATTTCTATAACTCAGGAATTTCAATAATGTCTTATTTTTCTTTGTTTTTGGGGTAGTTTGAAGTATTGCAAAATAAGTGAAACTAATAGACTGCAGAAACTCTTAAAATTGTTGCAGAGCAAGATAAAAACAACACGAAAAGATCATTAAAGCAAGCAAGAGCTAGCATGTGTCATGGTCAGTCTGGAGCTGTGCCTTAGCTGCCTGAGCAGCCAACTGCTCAAGAGTAGCAGCTGGGTTCCACCTGCCTTTCTGTCCATGAAGTTCCCTGGAAGAGCTGAAATAACCTTTGCCAATCCACCCCTCTCTCAAATTTGGTTGATATGACGATCAGGTTCTAGGATTTTGGCAGATGGTCATTTAGACAGCTCAGCTACATACCACTTGTCTGAGGAAAGCCAGCCAATTAATGATTTTCATCATGCAGAATTTACCTTTCAAGTAAAGATACTTTCTAGTCAAAAATGAAAACAAATCAGATTTGAAGGAAAGTTTGCCTGTAGTGCGAATCCCCAAATAATTTTTAGGTTGTCTCCCCAAGAAAAACTGTTATATATGTACTGTTCCGTAATGTTCGAAACTGGCAATGCCCCAGAGCACAGCACTCAGATGAGTGTTTTTTTTGAGTAATAACTTACATTACAAGGACTTAATTCTGCTCATAGTTGTATATATACAACTCAACATAAATGGATGTTGCATGCAGACAGCCAAGGGCAAAATCTGGTACAAAATATTTCAAAAGGATGAAAACATATTGGACTAAAAAAGCCTCCACATTTTACAAGTGAAGTAATGGAATAAAACCAGCTGTATTCATAACCACATAAAAACGTTCTGCATTAATGTCCCTAATTTCAGGATGAATATTAGGAATATTGGCATAACAGAAAAGCTACAGGGCATCCGGGAGTGAATGACCCACGTAATGTAATTAAAACCAGTACTAAATAAGCCACTGGAAAGGAACAAACACAAGGAGGTTATTAATTAAAAGGTACAATACTCTCAACATGCAAATTGGCAGCCACAAGTTAAGCTCAGAAGAATTACCTTCTTGGTTTTCAAACTGTTCTGACAACAGATGGTAGCAGCAGCCTACACTGCAAACTGCTTTGATTTCAGGCTTGGCAGTAAAAATTCGTAGTGTATTTGCAGCGAGATCACCACATGTATGTAGACCCACCATCATACAGTCCTAAATAAGAAAAAGAAAAAAAGGCAACAATAAAGCATCTCCCTCTTCAGCTGAAAAGACACGAACAACAAACTCCAAAACCCAAACATGCTGCAACTGGCTATCGAGCGGTAAGGTTTAAATACACAACTCCATGGGGACTCCTGCTGTTCTGTTCTAGAATTTTTCAATGCATAACAAAAGTTCTTCAGTGCTAAGCAAACACAGTGCATTGCCTCTGTGGCGAGCCAGACCACCCATTGCTTTTTTCCGGAAAGGAACTAACCATCTCTGCACTCTACTTTCACCGGCCATGAGGAAGCAGAAGTTCAAGACTACAAATAGCAGCTGGTTTACCTGCATGGAAGGGAACATCTGCGTGGTGACTGGACACTGGCCATTTTCTCTTGTCTTTCCTAGCCTTCCTGTTGTTATTATTACTACCACTGATACTTCCTTTTCTTACCTCAGATTTACTGGTCTAAGTCTGACTGGACCTAGCTATGGCATTTCTGCTACTTTAAATTGCTGAAATCAAAACCATTTCCTAAATATAATTTGAAGAGCAGGCTTTGTTATTTCTAAAACTGTCGTACTGTCGCGGTTTTGCAGTGTGCCTACTACTATTCAACAACAAACGGGCATTTTCTTCCATAGCACAAAGTAAGAACTTCAGCTTCAGGTGCTCTATTCTTCTTTCATTCTACTTCCTGCTTTTCTTCTTCCTCAATTTCCCTTTTCTCTCTATTTCTCCACAAATTATTCCTCTTCTCATCATTCGTAACAAGATATTTCCCTGCTAGCTTTAGTAGTCGAAACCCACATGGTAAATGTGGTGTTGCTTTGAATTTCAGCCTTATTTAATAACAAGATTATCAACAAGAAATTAGCCCAGGGGCATTCGATTGTGACACATTTCTATAATCATTGTGACCTCACGTGCACATCTATTTTTGCTGCTCTACACTCGATTTTCTCACACATCTGTATTATATAGTAATGTATGTGTGAAACAGTAAAACCTCCCCTTTTTTCCTCTATTTTTTAATTCTTCCCATCCCCCTCCTCGCCTTCCACTTCACGCTGCTTCTCCACGCTTACCCTCTCCTTGTCTTAGAATCCAACATTTTTAGGTGGCAAAAGTTCAGTTTCAGTTCAGTTTAGCTTTTAAAGACTTTTTTCCTACCAGTTAGCTTCAGCTCACCATTCCACAAAGCTTTTTTCCACAAGCAATTACAGAAATAGTGGGACAACAGTAGAGTTTGGAAGCTAAGGGAAGATGTGCACTTGCAACGGCAGCATTTAAATCCCAGGAAAGGAAAATTTAGAGAGATTCTTTTAGGAGAAAGCTAGTGGAAGATGGCTATTACATGCGAGACAGAGGAAACATATGACGATGCTCAAAAATTCTGAACAATAGGAGGGCAGTCTGTCTGTGTCAGGTACACTTTTGGGCCATCACTGACTTCAGTGAGGTTGCCCGGGTATAAGTGAAAGTACTTTCTGGATTGTTGGCCTAAGCGTAGCAAAATCGAATCTCTCAATATTAGTCCTGGGCTACATACAAACACGCATTCTTATAACCATATTTCATCAGCAAATTCATTTCAGAACTTAAGGTATAAATGAGTAAATACTCATTTTCTGCACTCCCCATTTGTCCCCAGCTTAGGAAAATTTCAGAAAAAAAATAAATCAAGTTATGGTTACAATAAAAACCTGGAAATATTTGTAAAACTATTTCTAAAAATATTTTATTTCTAAATGTCTCAAAATACTTTTAAAAAAATGATTGCACATTTTAAAGTTTTTGATTACACACATTCATCACACATAGTGTGCAGTTTGGTTATTACTATTTTTTTTAACACAATGAAGCTTTTACCTTTCCTGACAGTAATGTGGGTCTTTTGGGTTGGTGTTGTGGTTTTTTTTTTTTTAATAAAGACAGACAGTGATAAAGGATTGCTTTTGCCTTTTACATCATTCAAATTACATGCGAAAAGGATAGCAAATCCAACTGTGTAAATGTAAAGGCAGATGCTTCACCAGCAAACCCTGCTCTTCAGGGTGTCGTCTGCAGACAGACATGAGCTTGCTCCACACGTTCCACACGTAGGATTTATTAGCTCAAGTTATAGGGCCATTAATACAAACTATGTTGGTCTTGAATTAGAGATGAATTACACCCCTGAATATATCAGTTCATTTACTACTGAACACAGACAAGTTTCCATCTTTCCATAAAGGACTGAATGTATCTACCCAATCAACGTATGTTAGCTCGGGCATAGGAACCCAACAGCCATACAGCTTCTAGACTTGTGTCACTGTCTTTGGGCAACTGAGCTTGAGCTTGTTTCTGTAGACACAATCCCTGCCAGCTAGTAAACTACTAACTGAACTTAGAGTAACTCTGAAAAGTCAAAATAGAAAAACATTATTTGCAAACAGGGCTCTCTACACACTCTATGTAGAATACTATACACAATAAATTCTCCTATGCCTTCAAAGTTTAATTGAAATTACAAAAATATAAAACTAAAAATTAAGAAATTTCAGGAAAATTGAAATTCCAGTGTTTAACATATCCATCTAGCTGGTAAATACAACTCTTTTCATTATAATTAGATGTTATCTATAACCACAGTTGTAAAATACCTGAATGTGTTAGCATGTATGCTATTAACTTTGACAGCTGATTATTATCCACCCCATAAATTCTAAAAGCTGCTTTACATATTCAAAATAATCTTAACACATATATTAAAATAGAAAAACAATCTGTATCTGCCAGATATACTTCTGCTAACTGGCTGAAAAACATTATTGGGCCAGAATATTCATTTACACCACTGACAGCACTCTATGTACACTCAGCAAACAATATGTATGTATGAAAATGGCAATATAAAGACACTGGACAATCTACTTCAAATATTAGTAAAATAACCTCCAGATCTGTTATGATGTCACTGAGTTCTGTTTCCGCAGTGATGCAAGAGGTCAATGGAAAATACAGGTTTGATTCACTCGACTTGCTCGCTTTAGCCTTGAGAGATGCCATCTTCCTTTGCGCCTTTTCCTCTTCACAGAGTTCCCCACAGTTACCATGAGATGAAGAAAAAACTTCTACAGCATCAGAAGGCAGAACATTTAGAATAGCAAGAACCTCTTCAGAAAGTTTGCTCTCATCAGATTGTGTCCGAGCCACCAAGTCAGCTTCAGTTTGTTTGCTGGTTTCAGATGTAGCTACTTCTGTGAAACTACAAGAAGGAACTAAATCTTGGAAAGTCACTTGGTCTTGACTTTGAAGACTGCTGTCATTATTTAAGGGCTTTTCATCAATTGCTTTACATTTAATTTCACTTTCTAGTGGCCTGTCATCTGCCTTTTCCAACCTCTGGCTTTTGAGGTTTGCTCTTCCTCGACTCTGATATGCTCTCCAGTGCTTCTTCAATTTTCTGTTCCTTTCATGAGCACCATTAGTGTTGGAGTTTGAGGAGTCAATTCCATAAACTTGTAAGTTATATTGCATGGACAAAAATGAACTCAGGTAGCCTTTTCCAGAACCTATATCAATCACCTAGATAATGAGGGGGAAAAAATTGCTATATTAATGAGCAACAAGACACACTTCAATCAAAAGAAAAATAATTCTCTAAAAAATTAAGCAGGGATTTCATAATTACCTTATCCCTCCTAAAATACTTAGTTCATTTGCTTTGTAGATCTACCTTCTGGCTTTAAAACACAGAATTAAGTCTTAACTGGTTCGCTCCAGAAAACAGACACTCCAATGCTTATGCAATGCACATGTCCTGAATCTTCTGGGAAAGACTTCCAGTATATTTTTTGCCACAGAGGTTCCTTCTGCTAAAGAAAATAACTGTAAACCACCACCACCACTACCTGCCCTTGCCAAACTGGGTCAGGATATAGAGTTAGCAAAGAAAGCATTCACAGTATTTAGCTTTAGGCATCTAACTCCCACACTGAGGAGTCTACTACCACTAGGTGTACAGAAAAGCATCTTCAGATTTGGTGCCTAACTTAATCTCTTCAGATGTGATATAAAGACAGGTGGTATTAATACCCCCTTTTATGTCAGAATGCTTATTTATACCAGTTTCCCATTCTGTGCAAATGATCCATACAGCTTTGATTAACATAAGGATGCTTTTGTAATAAAATAAAGGGGCTTATATGTCACATGTGCTTTCACTGCCTGTTCTGGGGGAAGGAGGGACTGGAGGGGATGACTAGCTGGCAGTTCTGTTTCTCTCTTGGCTGACAGCACGTGCTACTTCAGCGACTGACACAACACAGGAAGGAAAAGGCTATACAGAGTAGTAGCAGCAACAGGGGTAACCCGAGACCTTTAAGTACATAATCACAGGTTTATAGCATGTGTGTTTTAATTTGTAATAAATATATAACAAAGTATCTTACAAGAATAGGCAGAGTGTCATTTCTCCAAAGAAGGAAAAGGATAATGTTCGCTTCTGCTCAGGTATCTACCAAAAAATATATTGACTAGATATACATCTTTATAGATGTTCCTGAAAGTGTTTGATTCAAGAACATCCGTGTTTTGTTCTTGGTCTGTCACGCATTCATAAGAAAGCTTACACTGGTATTTGTAAGTCCAGATAGCAGCATACACTACACGGATCCATCTCAAACTCAACTGTATGATTTCTTATCATATAAGAATACATAAGAATACTGAATACAGCAATACTTGTACTGAAATGAAAAAGAAAGATTTATTCCTTATTCTAAGAAAGTTAAAGATTTGTATAGCCATGGAATTCAAAAGAAAAATTTGAAGCAATGTCACTAAAGACTATGTAAAACAGTGGAGAATACACAATACTAGGTAAAAATTGTTTACCCAGCCTGCACGTGGCTTTCTCATCTGCACTCTTCATGCGATATTGCTGCATATTTGCCATCTAGGTACGCTATACTCCCCAAATTTCTTGAATGAAATCAGTACAGAATTGGATTTAGTGAAACAGAATTGATATAATCTAAGCATACTTTTTGAAAACTTTCTTTATTTGTCACATTGATCACCAATATTCTCCTAGATTAAAAAGTGAAGGAAAGAAAAGTGCCCAAGGGATAATTTTACCTACTATTTTATGTAACAGATATTACAATTATGCAGAATATGCACACCTCCACTCCTACAAGGTTTTTAATTATTTCTGTGAAAGGCAGCATCTGGACACAGAGTCAGCTAATGAATGATTCCTAACTCCTGCGTGTGACCTCTAGTGGCTGTAAAGACAAAACGCTGTTTGGGTAAGGTTTTTTAGTTGTTTCCAAATAAAAATAAAACAGTAATATATTGTTAAATTATCACTAGGAGAATAGGTTTAAAAAACGAGAGGAAAATTTGACTAAATATAAGCAGGCAATGATCTTGTGCTAAACAAATAGACTGCATTAAATTAATCCCTGCTTTACCTTGCCTTGATTACATAAGGAAAGGTAATCAACAACCCGTAGCATATCTGCCAAGCATGAACTTTTAAAATGAAATTTCCATGATATAATGAACTCCAAAGGTCTTGTCCATAGTGATTTGGGTACTATGTTTTAAACACAGTGTCTGGCGCAGCGCAATCAAGAACTTTGTTTCCAGAAGCATTCCAACATTTCCCAATACCAAATCACAAATTTAATGGATGCTGAATGCAGAATTATATCATACTTAACATTACGCACTGCAACTCTTGCTGCACATGCTGCAATTTCCAAGAAAGACTTTCACAAATGCATTAAAGAAAACAAATACGCATTTAAGCAAAGAAGAATCATCACTGGCTTCTTTTCAGAGTTTAATCAAGAACTTCTTTTATAAAATAAACTTCCTCTTGTACGATAGGAATAATGCTTAAAAGGGGCGGTAAACAACTGAAAAAAACCCTTTAGTTAGTTTGCTTTAATGTTTTAATTCAAATCATTAACCTAGAAGTGATTACAGTAGTAATAAAATTTTTGCTTTTATTCTCATTTTACTATTTCTTATACTACATTATAAAATACCACAAGAGAGTAATACCTTCTACCACCCATTATACATCATGGGTATTGAGGTGAAATGGAGGGCATTTTTCAAGCCGTCAGTGATCTGTAATATCTGAAAGAAAAACCCCGAGGACACGTGCTGCTGTAAAACATGTGTTGTGTTTTCATAGCTCTAGATTTTTTAATTAAATGCTGCATATATTTTGTTTTGCGAGAAGGATAGAAAAAAAATCAATAAGGAAAAAACTCTCCTAAAACTTTACAATTCCTGTATTTTTTAAGTTGAAAGGTAACCAAAACAAAAGAAGTTGCTTTTTAATAACTGAGAAGGAGGCTTTCCTTTTTATTTTTTTTTTTAAATGTAACTGGAAAGCTCTTTTCATATATTAGGGATTTGTAACTTTGCACAAATAAATTCCGTTACAGTGTATGACTAAAATGGAAAAAAAGTTAATATAGAGCAGTCGGCATTTCATATTCAGTGATATATTGCAATAATATTTTTCATTAAATGATACAATTTTTAAAAAAAATAAACAGAAAATAATCTTTTGTCTAAAGATACTCTAAGCCATCTGATAAAAGTACATAATCACTGGATGAAATTGCAGCATATTGACAGATATTTAATAATGATTGGTTTGAGATTTTATTAGTAACCAGCTACATCGGGACTTAGGTGAGGTCATTAAGGTGGCTCTACTTTTTTTACTCTCTGAATATGGGTTTTCCTCTCCTTTCGTTCCTGAATCTCACAGGAACTATTTAAAATCTAAATGAAAATGCTATATGAAACACCACCTTCCAGCAAACTTAGAGAACATCTAGTCTTGCAGCACAAGCAAACTATGCTTTCCTACAGCTTCTTCAGTCTGTTAAAGTCTTCAGCACTTGAAGAACTAATACTTGCCTCAAGCAAAAGGTAAGCAAGGCAGAAAACATGCTAATGATAGAAGAAATTACTTTCACAAATCTGCTGCTGCTGTATTTTTATTCTTTACAGAGTGCATCCACACTTGTCACCGCGGCTGGGTCTTGCAAGAGCTGCTGGAGCGATCGCCTTCCATCACTGTAAGCGATCGCAGATGCTCACAAATTGATTGTGTCTCATCCAGTAATATTTGGCCTTAATTGAAGCTCTCTATTTACTCGGCAATCCCAGTCGTAAGGAGAAGACTGCCTAAAACTGCACCTTCATCAGTTGTTCCTCACAAAACAGATGGTCAGGATTCAGATTTGATCTCTGTTTCCAAGGATGCCGTAGGCCTGACCCAAGCCTGTTGAGAGTACTGCATCATTTATACTATCTAAATTAAACTCCATCTGAGCCAAATAACTTCCAAATTAAAGTTCAGCTTCAGAAACTCAGAGCTGAATCCAAGTTTTGGGGCCTGCCCTTCAGTCTATGGTGGCAGGAGCAGCAACTTGGGACACTGCAGTTATGTCTCTACTGCTAAACTGACCTGAGAACGGCCATGTACCCCACCCCCAGCGCACAACTGGCCGCACCGTTAATTTTTAGCAACCCCTCTGGCGCAGGTACGAAGCAGGCCAGCTAGCATTCACCCACTGCAAAGGCCAGGCACAATTTAGGGGACACAATATATCAGAGACCATAGTAATATGGATTTAGCCTGCCCAAGTGCAGCTGTCTCTCCTCCCTTACCCACGTCTGATATCTTAAACTATACTTGGGGAGCGGAGGGGGAAAAGCTCAGAGGGATACATGTAGAATAAAATCGGAGCAGATACCTTATTAATCTTTGGTTTTAAACAAATTTAGTTTGTTCTCCACAAATCTTTGTAGGAATGAATATTAAGCTGGAGGAAACTAATCTTCATTTATGCTTACATTTACAATTGGACAGAAAGCAAGTGCAGCTCAGATGTGGGAAGGAATCAAACGCAGTGTCCAGAACCACTAGTTGTCTACAGTTTAAAGCGAGCATGAAGCTACATAGCCAGTTACTAGCATTATAGAGATTAAGATGATTAAACCAACTCAGTTCACCCAGATACTTAAAAATTTAGTCTTACTGCAACAAACGTCTAATACGTGGAATCTAACAGAAAATTTAACATTGAAAAAGCTTACAGAAAATTAAGTGTATGTAAAATGAAGAAATGGTATTTAATGGTGTTACTTTTGTCAACCAGAATGTGAAATATGGTACTGAAAAAAGTCTTGTTGCGATGCTTGTGTTTTGTCAACAGATCCATAAGTAAACATCTACGAGGTTTTAATGCAACAGTGATTTAGTGCACTGTGCAATCATAATTACATGTAAAAAAAAAAAGGTAAATTATAATCACATTTTAAGAAAGGAATCCTGCAATTCTTCAGCATCCAAGGATGAACTTGCCATCTGATGTATGAAATGCTGGATTCATACTCACTGGGTAATTATGATGTTGAGCGCCCAGATGTCACGTGTTCTACCAAATGTACTCTCTGTGCACACTCTGCTACGTAAATCTCTGCTTAATCTGATCTCTCTTCAAACTAAAAAAGTCATAACTAAATTCCTAATTGAAGATGTCAATCCATGTTAAAGAAAGGTGAACAGTATTAAACAATAGGAAACATTTTAAATCCCTTATGCCAGAATAAGAAGACATGCTTTCAAAATGTCTCAGATTTTCTGCGTTGGTCTCTATGTGGTACTCCTCGACAGAAGAAGTTGTTTTACTCTCCTGCTGATGCCTATGGTAAATTGCCAGCAGTATAATACTGATAAACAAGGCAGTACTCGTGCATAGCAAAAAGCAATACAATTTTTAGCTGTTCAACATATAGAGGATTATTATAATTTCTTAAATTTTTTTATGAGTCATAAAATGATTATGAATTACTGAAAGGAGGCTCCTTTGGAACGATACATTTGAAAAGAAACTTGTCCTTCAGTGTGGCCCTAAAGGCTCTTTTTTAGCTACGATTATTTACAGGAAGAATAAGAACAGCAGTGACAGAATATCAAAATGGGGTATTTGAACACAATAGGGAGAATAATTTGGAAGGCAGACAGTAACATACAGTAAGAACTGCTTCCTTACCTGCTTTATACCACAATAATTTGCTATTTTGTCTACCAGCTCTGACATCACCTGCACTTCATGTGATTTCTTATTATTCATAAACTCATCAGTTTTGATACCTGTGTCACATTAAGAAAATAAATACACATTAACACAATCCATAATAATAAAGATTTGCAATGAATCAGAAAAAATACCAGGCTAAAAATATGCTACAGTGTTTTTATATTTTAAGAATCGTTATTTTTAATTAAAAACTCACTAAATTATTACAAGACTAAACTTCTGAATTATAGATGAATTAGTAAAATTCAACATACTGTAAAACTTAGTGCAGTTAGTGTAGTTTTTTAAAGATGCAGCATATCTAATATCTTACCAGATGTTAGACAATAGCTACTATTACAAAACCATACTATTTCTTCCTGTTCATTAAAAAATAGTTATTTTTATGTTGTTTAGCACATTTACCTTTACCTATGTGAAGTAGAAGAGCAGGGACAATTAATAATCACACAGTACAGCAGTGTACAGCTGCAGATTTGCTCATAGTATCAAATGGCAGATATCTCAAATAAAAGTTATGAACGATGCTGGGGAAATTCAAAGGAAGATGCACATTCCTTTTCTCTTTATTTACGCTATGGATGGGTTATAGACCTTCTACATCTTTCCGGTAGTAAATTACTCATTGCAGTGTTGCCGGAGAATGTGTTAAGAAGATGATGGGAGTCAGCCTCTACCACGAGTTTACCGCTTGTGCAGCTTACCGGGCACCCACTTGCTAATCTCTACAACCCCCAAGCAAAGGAGCAGCTCAGAAGTCGCTCCCTTGTAAGAAACCCAAGCGTTTCTTTCAGGCCACCAACGCTACAAGTACACTTGGCTCTAGTTAAATCGATGGGAATTTTTGTTAAGTCTTGAGTGAGAAGAAACTGGACCGTTACTGACAAGCATGCCCCTAGAAAACAAGACTTTTCTACATGACTAGGCAGATTAATATACTTTTCCGTTCTCCGCTTTTTTGCACAGTATGTGTTCATCTGTCCAGAAACTGATCATTAGGCAAAAAACTACGTTCACTCCTTGATCAGATCATGCCGGGAGCAGAGCCAAGAGTGTTACTTCTTTAAAAGAGAGTGGGGGATTGAATGACCACATGAGAAACTTAATGTTTTCTCTATTTTTCCCCAAACCCACAGGATCTCTCTATTTCTTAAACATCTGGGTTTTTTGTAATAAACTGTTATGACAATACTTAAAATCTAATATAGACTCTATGAACTGACAAAAGAAAAAAATAGACTAAAATACTTTTAAACAAAACAAAGTGCGGAAGCAATTGTTTGTCATTTCACTAAAGATTCTCCTTAACTTTAGCATTGTGAAGATCTACAGAGTGTCCTAAAAAAAATCAATTTGTAACTATTTCAAGTGAAAGGAAAAAAAACCAGAAAAAATTAAAAAAAAGAAAGAAAGAAAGAAAAAAGGTCTCTGTTTTGTTTATCTTTCAACATTTTGGTATCTGGATAGGCTCATCAGAAGAAAGAAGCAGAACGGGAACAGGAAGAAACAGACATTTAGCTTCTGCAAAGAAATAAAAGTTGTTTGTGCTCCAAAGCAGTACTGTCACTTTGAACTATCACCACATATTGCATCTTTCACACTTTGCTGTAGTATGAACTCAAAAGACTGAAGAGGGTAATGCTGTGTGAAGGACCATTTCAGACAGTACTTAATCCAAACTAAGTATTTCAAATATGGAAGAAATCCAGAAATCCAGAAGCAAGACCCAATTTAGAAAAACTGTGGTTCCAGGTAAAAAAAAAAAAATCATAGTTTGCTTATACCTACATATATAAAGCATTTATCACCTTAGCTAGTAAAGTTTCTTAACTATTTTTAGACCTCTTGCCCTACATTTTGCAGAATGAACACTCTACTTATATTTCAGCTCAGGGAAAATTATACTGTTTACAGAAAAATATGGATTTTTAATAAATTTTACTGTTGCTGCATTTTCTGCAAAATTCTGATGGGTTTTTTTTTACATTATTTTGAAAAACAGACAGACATATTACAATCTAATAGAAAACTTGTATTTGGGGACTGTTTTATATTGCCAAGACAACTGCAAATTTAAAAAAAATATGTATACTAGTTTTAAACAAACTGTGTAAATTCATTCTGCTACCACAAAACTACTTCTTGAAACAAAAAAATTATACATGTAAATTTCCTTATTATGTGTACAACTGATGCAAGCAGAACAGATGCTAATTTCAAAAACCATACTTTTGTGATGAAAAAGAAAGTGGGGTTCGACTACTTGACAGAAGTACCTTCAATATAATAGAGTAACAGAAAGCTTACTGTTACTAGTTTTAGCTGGTACTGAAATGTTGCTTATTTCCATTGTGAACCCCTAGCACAGGTAGCTGGTTTTCTTTTGAAAAAAACTGCTTCAACTCTATAATGCCATTTACACCTACATCTTTAGTTCCGAAGCTGAACGGATTGAGGAGAGAATGTCTTTTATGCAGGGCTAATGCAGATCTTCCTAATATCTCCTATGGCAGAATGCAGGGTTTTTCTACCCCAGCTACCTGTGGAAATTCAGATACCCCAGATGATAAAAAACAAAATTCACAGTCCACGGCAGACAACACCACCTATACAGAAGTTACACCGCTATGATTTCATTCCATAAACAGACTAAGGGACTGGGATAACCATATGCTAAAAAAAAAACATTGAGGCAGACTGATTCTGCCTGCCTCACATATTCCATTATGTGGAATTTAAAGATGGGTTTATTAACAGTCGTATTAACATGACTATTACCATGGCCATAAACACACTGCAACGGTAAAGAGCACTCTTAATCCAGTATTTTAGCAACCTTTGCTTCTCATGTCAGATATGAAGCCTGCAACAAGAGAAATGGTCTGTGTTGGCTTCCTCCCTTTGGACCAGGCTCTTCTGGATCCTGAGTGCTCAGTGCAAGCAACCTGATGGTGCAGTAAGGACCACAGTAACCTTCATTAGGAAGCAATGGAGAAAGCCCTTTACACTCAGAACTCCATTCTGAGTAGCTGTGTCCACAACATGCTTAAAATGTTTGTGCTTACCAATTATTCCAAGGAACAACAGCAATATGTCTACATTACAACGGTGAAGAAGTTAGAGAACTGTGGGAATAGGGTCATAAGCATGTTTGTCTTAGAACAAGAAAATGTATTAAAAACATCTGAAACATAAATGGAATTATCCTGATGCATACTTTTCAGAATACGAGCAAGGTCATTGTAAAGTCGTCAGTTTTCTCAGACTTACACTTCTCTTGACTTGCAAGCTTTCGTATGTCAGGAAATGAATACACTTTCTGAAATACAGAATAATCGTCCAAAATATCTGAAATAGCTTAAAGTTAAAAGATCACAACTTTCATTTGGCAACTTGCACATTATGAATACACAGTTTGGTATTTTGCTTCTGCCAAATATTTACCAGGAACTTCAATTAAGTTAATTTAACTGATACTTACTGCCAATTCAACACAAAGGTTTTGAATTATAATACCATTGTTTACATTTGGAACACTGCCTTATCCTGATGCTCCATTCTGCATGACAAGAAGATGAAAGAATCCTTGCAGTTTTGTCTAAGAAAGCCAATCAAGGTATGAACTCAAGTAGGAGTATAACAAGGTACAACTACAGAATTACAGAAAATTATGCAGAACACAGGGAATGAGAGCATAATAAAAATGAAAAGAGCTGAAAAGCAAGCAGAAGAAAAGCAGCATATAGTTGTCAACCAAGAAAAAAGGGCTTCAGATGAGCGAAGAGCAGAAAGAAAGAAGTCAGAAAGTAAGACCAATGCACAATAAACCATTAAGACTATCATCTCAGCTATAGCATTTTAATATTTCTGAAGAAATGAAAAACTGGGGAGCCAACCATGAAAAATAGTGAAATTGGAAAGAGAAGATTGCTGTAGAAAATGGGAGAGATGCCCAACTGTCCTGGCTTCAGCTGGGATAGAGTTAAATTTCTTCCTAGCAGTGGGTATAGTGCTGTGTTTTGGATTTAGGATGAGAATAATGTTGATAACACACTGATGTTTCGGTTGTTGCTAGGCAATGTTTACACCGAGTCAAGGACTTTTCAGCTTCTCACACTGTCCCACCAGCGAGTAGCTGGGGGTGCACAAGAGGCTGGGAGGGAGCACTGCCAGGACAGCTGATCCAAACTGCCAAAGGGATATTCTATACCATGTGATGTTATGCTCAGTATATAACTTGGGGGAAGCTGGCTGGGAACGTATCCATGGCTCAGGAACTAGCTGGGCATTGGTCAGTGGGAGGGGAGCAATTGTGCTGTGCAACAGTTGTTTTGTATATTCTTTTATTATTATTATTACTATAATTATTTTCCTTTTCTGTCCTATTAAAACTGTCTGTATCCCAACCCACAAGTTTTACCATTTTTTTTCCCAAATCTCTCCCCTATCCCACTGTGAGGGGGGAGTGAGCAAATGGCTGTGCAGTTGTTTTAGCTGCCGGCTGGGTTAAGCCACACCACCAACATATACGATGGTGCTATCACTTAGGATAAGAAACATCAGAGTTTTAACGTATTACAGAGATAAAACACACTAGAAAACAAAGGCAGAGAGCTGATCAATCTGCCTCTGAAAAACTAATGAGAAATCTGAAAGACAGTGGCAAATCTATAATGACTGAGGACTCCATGAAGAGTACATTTTCAGTGAAAATTACAGCAGCCAAAGTAAGTAAAAATGCCAGTTTATCATCTGATACAAAAAATATAACCAGGGGCAAGACTTCCAACTTGATGCCAACTTGAGAGTGTTTTAATCGAATTTCTTTAACTACAGAAAATGAAATTACTCTAGTTTTATGACATATGTTTGGTATTGGTCCAAAACATACAGAATAAATAAAATCCTTTTTTTTTTTTTCAGACATCAAGCACTTACTGGACCATATTCAGCTAAATGTCAAAGCACATATTTAATATTAAACAAAAGATGTAACAAAAAACCCCACTTGCCAGATTTTAGGGTGAGACTTTTTAAAAAAAGCAAGAATAGCAACCATGATTTCTGCCGCTCAGGGAGAAGAAAAACAAAGAGAATTAACAAGACATCTCAAATAACAATGTGCCTGCTTGCCTATCTCATCCCCTTTAAAACTGAATCTCAGGAAGGGTCTATAGGTACTGAATGCTGTGACCCCTCTGCTCAAATTTTAGCAAGAGAATCCATTTTCTAAACAAAGGCAATGAAGAAACTATCTAGGAATAAATGAAAATTGAAG